TTTTTCCCACAACATTAACTTAATTAAACTATTTAATTTATTAAATCAAATTAAATGTTTTAATCAAAAGACTAAATGTTTCAGGAAAACATTTAGTATTTCACAAGAATGACAATTTATATTTGTGGTGACTTCAACTTTGAGGACCTCCTGGTAAAATATAAAAATTAAAATAAATGCAGTTGCGTTTGAATGCTGGGGTCATCGTTTAAAAAGATTTTAATTTCTATAAAACTTAACTACATAACTAGTTGAAATTAATTTCAATTTAACTTTGTAAGAATGTAAAAAAAGAAAAAATTAAAATAAAAAGAGATTTAAAAAAAAATTAAAAAAAAATTGAAATTTCTTTAAAATTATTTGTAAAGTACTCACTAGGTCTCGATTACTTAATTGCCTTTCTTTCTCACTTAACTCTTCTTGGAGATGTTCTTTTTCTTTTAAATATTTAGCTGCATCCTCTGAACTTTTCTTTAGTTGAGTTTCTAGTGACTGAAACACCATTATTTAAATATTATAATTGAATTACCTATGATTTAAACAGCAAGTAAATAAATAAACACAATAAAAACATACAATTTGTTTGTATTTTATCTAGTAATTTTGATATATAATAATAATATTGTAATTTATCTAGTAAACTTGACATTGAAGTTTTTCTTTAAATTTGTTAGCTAATATAAATTACATAATCAACACTTGGAATTAGGGTCGACATTTGGCATTGCTGACCTAAAAGTGTTAGAGGTCGTCAAAATATTGCTGACCTCATTTTGATGTTTTATGGTTAGACCTTTGTATCAAATTTTTTTTGCCGACCTCTAATAGATTGAGGTCGGCAAATTATTGTCGACCTCAATTTTCCTAACTCTGAGTGTTGCATAATAAATTACTAAATAACTGATTAACTTTCTGGCTAAATTCATTTTAAATTAATTTTTATTACAAAATTCAAATCACTAAAACTTGTAAGTTGTATTAGGGTGTACCCATTTGTGTTTTACATGTATCATCACGGTCATTTCACAAACGCCAAAGTCATTTTTTGGGAGTTTTGAGTTAAGAGCAGAAATGTATAGCTTATTAAGTCTTTTATTATGTGACAAATCGTCTATGTCTTGAACCAATCAGAAAACAGTTTGTTTTTATTTTTTCATTTCTGCCCAAATCCGTCAAATCTTTTGACTTAGACGACTTGTTTTTCAACATGGCGACTCATACCATGCATTTCTACAGTGATTCAGAAGTCAGGAGAATATTGGATGAAGTAAGAAGTTATTGAATTATTGAAATAAAACATTTTATTGAAATTAACTATTGAAATTACCACATGTGTAAAAAATTACCACATGTGTAAAATATAAATTATACTACCACATGTGTAAAATATAAATTGTTTAAGTTTTAGCATATTTCGCCAAAGTCATGCATTAAATGATTAAATTTGTGTCTGCTATGATTTTTGTATGGGAAAAACTGATTTGGGCAATTGGTATAGTTAACCTTTCATTATATTATAATAAAATTATAAATATATTATTATAATATTATTATAATCGGTGGCCCTGGTTACAATTAAGTAAGTTTAATCTTAAATGCTTTTTAATAATTGAAACGTTTTTTAATGAAGTAACAAAACACTTCTAATGAATTTATATATAAAGTATTAATAAACTGTTGTGTTTTTTTTCATTTATATAACTATGCACTTTTAATGATAAATGTAAATGTTTTAAAACAAATTAAAAAAAAAAAAAATGTTACAACAAAGAATAAAATTGTTTTTAATGCATAATTATTTACTAGTTTACTTTTACATTGAAACTGATATTTGTAAATTAGTAATAAAACCCTATAATTTAAATTAAGCATGAGTATTTTTTAAACAATAATTAATAGTAAATTGAAAAAAAGCTTTATTTTAAGGATTCCGATGATAATAATAAATAAACATGAATAAAGATAAAAAATTATTTCAAACATTTAAATAGTGTTCTATTACATGATTTAAATTAACTAAACATTTTAGTTTGTTGAGTTTTGTTTTAGTTGGGTTATATATATATATATATATATATATATATATATATATATATATATATATATATATATATATATATATATATATATATATATATATATATATATATATATATATATATATATATATATATATATATATATATATATATATATATATATATACACACATATATATAGCCTTAGTTAAGATTTTTTTTAATTTTCTCTTTTGTTCAAATTTTTTTTTCTTTTTTAAAGTAATGCTTTTTTAGATAAGTTTAAGTAAAATTTATTAGCGCATTTTTAAATTTTAAATACATGTTAAAAGCCATGTTCAAATCATCAAAACAAAGTATTTAATGTGTGGTCATATAATTGTGTGTGATCATACGTCTTCCTGTGAAACACTGTTATATGTAAATATCTAACTTTGAAGATTTCACAAAATCTACTAAAGTGATGTAGCAGTAGAAATAACAAAGTTATTCAGTTTTCTTAAAACAAGCAAAAATGACTTAGGTGATTGTGAAATGATTGTGATATGTCAAATATGCAGCTCAAGCACAAATATGTATACTACAAAAAAAAATTTATGCTCTGAAACCTTTTATAAATTTGTTATTATTTGTATAAAAGTAAAAATATACCTCTTTATCTACTTTTAAATTTTCAAGAGAAACAACCATCCTTTTCATTCTAACATCAGCATCCTTATTAATAAAAAATAGACAAACTTACAAAAGTACAAAAAAAATATTGATAATAACAGTTAATTAAAAAACTTACAAAAGTACAAAGAGTAAAAATTACAAAAAGAATTTAATAAGAAAAACTTCAGGAAAATATTTTTTTTTAATTATTGGCTTCTGAATTTAGTTTAATAGGAGATTCCTTTACTTTTATGTAATAAATAAACAAAATTAATTTTTACAAACACCTTTAATATCTATGATACAAGTATAAACACATCCATTACTAAATGTGCTGATCACTTTTGTTTACTATGTTAAAAATTTAGATGTTTATAACAAATTAAGGTATAATATTGTAAGAAAAATTTACTATATATTTATCATGCCCATCAATAATATGATCAAAGTACCCCTTTCATAACTATTAAATGAGAAATAATTCTATCTTTCTTTGTATGGATTATTAACAGTTAAAACATGCAAAAATACCGCTAATAGAATTTCAATCATGATAAATATTGAAAATTGATTTTGGAAATCAAGGTTTAAAAGTATTACTTTTAAACCTTAATAACAAATGTTGTTAAAACATTTGTTGACAAAACATAAAGTGTTTTATGCTGCCTGGCAAAACTAAAGACAGGAAAATTTGTAAACCTTAGATATAATTAGTTAAAAAACAAAAATAATTCTCTACCTAAATCACATAGTAATAATCACCCCCTCTTCTTAATACTTAGCCCAACAATCACCCCCTCTACTTTTTTTTATTTAAAAGTGTTTTTTGTATAACCTCTAACAGGTGGTAAATAAAAAAATTTAAACCTGAGCTAGTGCTGCGCTTTGCTTTTCTGCTTTCTTTTTCAGCTCTTCAGCTTCGTGCTGTAAAAAAAAAAGATAATGGTGAATATTTATTTATCAAGTAATAAAAATTAAACCTTTTTTTTTCTTTATTTTATTGAGGTATTTTACTGAATAAAAAATATTTTATTCAAAACAACGCAATATAATTACAGCTTACAAATGTTTTCATTTTCAAATAAGCATTTTCTACTTTCATATTTAAAAAAATATAAACATGTTATAATTAAAATGGTTACGTTAAGACAAATATTTGAATTAAATTTAAATATTTGACCCCAAATGATGGATTCTAAAATTATTATGATAGGTTCTAATAAAAATTGTAAATTCACGAAACAACTTACTGTTTGATATAATAGAGGCTGATTTGATGAATAGATGTTTTATACTAGATAAAATGTAATTTAATATGATATATAGAGTTGCAAATCAATCAATGAATGTTATTAGAGCTTCCCAGGAGGTAGTAAAAATTTTCTCTGAACTTGTCTAAACTTTTTGTTAAGTTTCCCATTTGTATAAAACTTTAAAAATTTTTATAAAACATTTTTACAGTTTTTTCAGGTTTTGCATGAGTTTGTGCAAATAACTTCATAAACAATATTTGAAAATGCAAATTTAAAAAGCTAATTAAAATTTTTATTAAAACAAAAAAAAAAATCCGCATTTAAAATCTTCAAAATTTTAATAGATAAAATAATTTGCAATAACTAAAATAAAAAAAAAAAGAATTGCAAAAAATAAAAAAAAATTTCTTATGACTTTTACTTTTATTCTTTTTAATCAAAGTTTATTAAATTTTTCTTAAATTTTCCTTAGTTTCATTCTTTTTCTTAAATTTTCCTTAGTTTCATTCTTTTTCTTAAATTTTCCTTAGTTTCATTCTTTTTCTTAAATTTTCCTTAGTTTCATTCTTTTTCTTAAATTTTCCTTAGTTTCATTCTTTTTCTTATTTTAGGATTTTCAGATTAAGTGATTTTTGGTCATGTTTTAACTATTAAAAATATTCATCAAAATGAAGATTTGAAGTATAGGTATTTCAGTTTTGTACATTTGATACCAACTACATTTTGCTTGAAGAACAAACTCTAGCCTAACTGCAAGAAATATGAATTAGATTTGGTACTTTATACATTTTAAAGAAAGTGATGCCCTAATGTACCTATGCCCTGATGCTTAGGAAGAAATGCAGCTAGTTTAGACATTTCAGCAGGATTTTAATTCTAAACATTAAAACATGTAAAGGCTTGATTATTAGAAAATTTACCAGGTCCTAATTGGATTAGCAATCACAAACACTTTGCTACATTTATGCGGCAGTGGTGTAGTGGTAAAGCACTTGCTTTATAGGCCAGAGGTTCCAAATTCGATCCCCACCATGCCCCTAGAAGTACCGCGCTCAACTTGTTTCTCTGTGCAGTGGCCTTGTTGGTCAAGGTTCCTGTTTCGAAATTAGTTGTTTTGAGGTTGAGGGAGGGTTATAACCACAATTAAGTAACCTCCTTGTCTGTAGTGGCCTTCTCAGCCTTGTGAGGTGAATTAACAAAAAAAAAAAAAAAAAACTTTATCTAAATTCAATAGAAAATCTTAAGAAGATTTTGATGACAAAATCAAAGACTAATTATCAAAAGACAGGTAAAGTATAGGAAATGCCAAAGAACACTATTATAATACTCCATTTCTGCATGTAGATTTAATGTGGTAAAATCATATCATGTGCATAAAATATGTTTCATCAATCAAAAATAACTATTGAAATAAATAATTATAAATGTTAATAAAAATTAGTGAGACAGAAATTAATAAAAAAGAATCAGAAATTGCTCTGAACTCTGGTACCTGTAGTTTAGCTACCAATGATTCAGAACTTTTTTTGTAAGTAGCTAACTCATTTTGAAAATTTTTCCCATCTTCTATAGCCTAAAAATTCAATGTTGCATTTAAAATATATTATTAAAAACTTAACAACTCTATGTTTTTAATTTATATTTGTTATTGGTAACTGGTTAATTGTTAACTTTTCTAAGAAAATGAAATTAATTTATTACCTTTGTTAAATCTTTATTGACAATTGACAAAGAGGATTCAAAGTTTTCGGCATTCTAAATATATAACTACATGTCATTTTTGCGTATTTTTTAATATGATATGCATTTTAACAAAATGTATATTTTTGCATAAAATTAAACAAACACATTTTGTTTGAATAAATTATTACAATGGCTAAAGTTTTGTTAGCAACTTCTAACTGGTCTTTGGTAACACGCAACTCTTCATATGCTGTTTTGATTTCATTTCTTAACGAATTTAATTCACTTTCTGTGAATGACTTTTCAACAACAAGCTGATTGATTCTCGCTGTCAGTTCATTTCTACTCAAAAGAAAAAAGCAAAAACTAACATTTATTTTTTTAGTAATAAATTAAAATTTATCATAAATATTATTTTTAATAATATATCTTTAATTATAATTTTTAACAATCTAAATAACTTCAATAAATGTTACAAAAGTATTGTTATGTAATATATATATATATATATATATATATATATATATATATATATATATATATATATATATTGATTATATAAGTTAATAATAATAAGTATAGAAGTAATAACCTTTAAAAACAATATAAATTAATTAATTTATATTAAATATACCGCTGATCAATCTCATTAGAAGTAGGTACATCAGAACGATTTACTAAATTTGAAATCTGATTTTCCAGATTCAAGCATGACGCTTTTAAGGATGCAATAGTCTATAAAAAATGAATTTTATTTTGCATCATTATCAATAAACTCATCAATTGTAGGATATTTTATTTAAAAAATGTTAATTAACAAAAAATACATATACAACAAATTCATAAAATTTTATTTTGAAAAATGGAATGATTTTAAAAAAGCCTTACTTTCAATGCCTCATTTATTTATCTATCTAAAAATATCTTTCATCTTATTTCAAAATTGAGATATAGTTTGTGTGTAAGCACCTGCAAAGTTCGTTTAACTTTGCCAAGTGAAGTTAAACAAAGTCAAATATTCGTAAAACTTCTGTATCAAAGTTTAAAAAAATTATATTCACTATTTGTTTAATAAAAACATTTTTAGAAATAAAAGTATGTATATATATATATATATATATATATATATATATATATATATATATATATATATATATATATATATATATATATATATATATATATATATATATAATTATATATATATAAGTTCTAAATGTATACTAAAAATTTGCGCTCTAATTTTTTAGAAAGAAAAAAAAAAAGGAATAAAAATAAAAAAGAAATTTCTTTTTTTTTTCCCATAATAAAAATTTCTTAGCTAAAAAATAGCTGAAAATATCAAAACCCTTAGTTGACTTATGTATGCCCTGCTAACCCTTATTTCATTATGCCATCAACAAAGTGCATCTTATCCTGCATTTATGTAATTATTTCAGATTCTTATGTAAACAGATTAAAATAAAAAATTTGTGTGTGTGCAAACATTTGTTGAATAACAACTGCTTTTTAATAATTTAGTACTCATTTTTTATTCTTTTGAAGTAACCCAGTACAGTCTTCCTAATGTTCTGTTGCCTTGTAATATTCAAATTTCTAGACATACCCTGCCTTGAGGATCTTGATTAAGAAGAGTCTAGAGATGGTGTCAATCAATAACAGCACTCATCTTGAACTTACAAATATGTTAACTACATTCAGCTACTGTTTTTAAAAAGCTTCTAAGACAAAGACTTTAAGGTAAGTAGAAAACTTCTGTTGACCAGACTCGCGTTTCTTCTTTATCTATTAGTCTGGCATAGATGTAAACCTGCGTTATATTGTTTTCTACCCAGGCTGATGAAAGTTATATTGTTATATTGTTTTCTACCCAGGCTAGATCTTCTTGACCCTACAAATGGATTGTTGTTATTGTTGATTGTGCCTCCTTGGCAGTGGCTTATTTTGTGATCTCTTGATGAGGGTACAGCTCTAAAAGTCTAAAAGTTTAATGGTTCTGATGCCAGCTGGTAGTAAAGTTTCAAAAAATCTGTGGTAGCTCTCAGAGAGACTAATTTCATCAAAAGCTCTATAATATTACTAACAGTACCATGTTGCTCAGACTATTCTTTTATTTGCTTTTGCTTAGAATGGTTACACTTACTTAGAATGGTCTCACTAAACCACCTTTATTTTTGCATTTTGTCAGCCTCTTTGTTCACAAGACTGGATTTTTTTTAATTATTGTTTTTGATTTAATTGAACAAGCCCTTTCTCTTTATCATTGTTAACTAGCCAATACTGTTGTTGTTTGTGACTTTAATGTTCATCACACTAAATGACTTGACCCTAGTATTAGAGATGTTTTAGGTATTCAGCTAAGTCTTAGTTTTCCAGCAGTTAGAGTCGGGTTAAGCTGGGCATCCAACACAACTATATATTATGAGAACCCAGGAAAACCACAACATATTCTGAGCCAGGTACCTGAAACATATATTCTGAGTACCCAGGAAAATCGCCAAAAGAGATAACCAGTACCTAGCTGTTTTTCTCAGGTACCAAGCAGTTACCCTGCAGTTTTTCTCAGAATATAAAAGTACTCAAAATATATATAAATGCGCCATGTGCCTGTCTCAGATAAAAAAAACTGCAGTAAAACTGTGACAAAACTGTGCACCCAGCACATCTCTACCTAATACCATGCTATGATCTCAATAAAACATTTATCTTCTATTTCTTCTCATCAGACTTGCCATATACTTACACATTGCCTTTTACTATACATACCTATACTTCTTACAACTAACTTGAAGCTGACTGGTTTTTTTCTTATCCCAAAAATAGTAATGGTTCTCAGCTGGTGTTTTTCGAATATTTTGCCTCATTTACAGACAAGCATATAAATTTTTTTAACTACTTATTTCTTCTCATTGATTTTCACATCAAGCCTCACTCTATACCGTAGTTTTCTTTTTTTTACACAGGTGCCATTTCTAATTGAATTTCATTCTTTTTTTTTCTTTTCTTCACAAGAACCACTGTTGAAATACATGCAAAATTTTAGAATTATCACTCTTTTAAACAAAGAAAATAATATATACCAAATTTTTTTTTTAAATATAAAAATGTTTGTGTCCTCCCTCCTAGAAATAGTTGCAAAAAATCCTTTTTTACTGTCTTTTTTGAGTATTTTTGTTTAAAATGTTAACAAATATATTCTATAATGACTTTTCACACAGTATTATTTACTATCTTATTCATATTGTTTGAAAAATTCAACTTAAAAAATATTAATTTATAGGTCTTCCTGAATTTAAAAACCTTAAAGTGGTTTTGAAGGCAGAATAGAATCGAAAAAAATTTCTGGTAAAACGAATTAATTAAAACTATTAAAATTTTTTTGATGGCTTTTTTGGGATTAATATCAAAAATTAATTTTAAGGAATTAATTCAAAAAAAAAAAAAAATCAAAAATCATTTAGAAGGAATAATGTCAAAAATGCCTATACAGAATAATATCAAAATTTGGATTTAGGAATAGTATTGAAAAAATAGCAAAGAGGTAGAACATGCGAGAAGTTTTGCTACATCGACTGACAAATAGGTAGAACATGCAAGAAGTGCTTCTACATCGACTGAGGGTTTGAATCATTTGAAAATTGAATCATAATCATTTTTTTAATTTTCGACATTATTTAATTTTTAATTATTTCAATGTTAATCATTTTCTTCTTATTTCGATCTTATACTGCTTTTAGGATTTTTTAATACTATTCCTTTTTTCAAAATTTCAATTATATTCTTTATTTTGATATTAATCCGGAAAGTTCCTTTTTAAATTAGTTCAGTTTGATGTATTACTACTACCTACCTCCCCCCCAAATCCCCAAAATCCACCGAAAATCATCATCAAGATTACTTTAATTTGAACTAGAAAAAAGTTTAAGTTCTTTCCCTTAAAATTACTTTGCTTAAAAGATACCTTAGAGAAATCAACAAGGGAAGTGATGAAATAACAGTGTCAACAAAAAAACATTTTCAAAGATATCTTGATTGAATTACCAGAAATGTGGAATACAGCTTATTTACCAGATAAGCTAGATAACAAATGAATGGTAAAGTGTGTTGAAGAAATGAAAAAAGTACCATAAAATTGATTTCAAAATCTGGTCTCAAAAGAGACCAGATTTTGAAATCAATGTATTAACTCTATAACATATCAACTGCTGACAGTTATTAAATATTATGTGTATCTCTTGCAATGTGGAAAGAGGACTGGGAGTTTTTACTGAACCAATGGAAGTATCCACAGTTAATTTCATGCATTATTTCAACTACGATGCTGTATTGTATTTACTTAAAAAAAAAAATTTCACTTTATGTTAGTATAGAATTGTTTATCTCTACCTTTATCTGTATTATTTATTTCTAGATTTATTAGGTTGGTTCAATGATCGGTTGCAGCACAACTCTTGCGCAATGAGAAAAGTACAAGTCTGATCGTAAGGAACAAGTCAAGGACAGCACAGCTAAAAGGGAAAAAATGGATTTAAGCGAAAATAATGGGTTTAAAAGAAATATTAGAAATCCTTGAGAAAAAAACAGATGAGTCAAGCAGCTCAGAGGGCAAAGTTCTTACTCTATTTCAGCCAAAACGAAAAGCTCTATTTCAGCTAAAGCCAAAAAAAAAAAGATTGTCAACAATATGGTTTTTTGACAACAATCTGGTATGGCATTAAAGCTGTACGACACCAAAAGAGAAAAATGAAGCCTGGAAAACCCTCTTTTCTGGAAGTCAATGGTGACAACATTCCTTCTTTTGTCCCTTTATTTTGTTCATACTCCTGGCTACTATTTTACCTAATCAATAATACAAACTAGATAGACTAGATACAACTGCCTGTTGAGGACAGAATGAAGATGAAAGATAACAAAGATTACAACTATATGAATAATGTTGTGAAGTAATGTCAAGTTGTGAATGACTGCTTATACCAGACTACAAAACCAAAGTCAAGAACCCTGCGCAGCTCAAACTACTACTTCAAATAGTGGAGGACCGTGGCAACCGAACTTCTTTTCAAGAATAAAAAGAAAATTTAAAGAACTTCTGCTTGTTTTTTTAAGCAGTGCGAATTGCATCAATCTATCAATCAAGTTCACAACCTTTAAAACATATAAAACAATATACCGAGTCTTTAACAATGATATTATTGTTGTTATCTTCCAGTTGTTCTTTTACTTTGAGAAAATCTGTTTCCATTTTCTTGTACTCGTTTTGTGAGTTTGAAAGTTCTTTTTGTAGTTTCTAAAAAATATAAAGCTATTACGAAAAATTGGAAATATTAAGTTTTTCACTTAAAATCTGAATAAACTATTAGTTGTAAAAAAGTAAAAGCATTAAATTTTGCAAATAATGACTCATAACATCAACCCTCGGAATTAGGAAAAAAGAGATTGGCAATAATTTGCTGACCTCAATCTTTTAGTGGTTGGCATCAGGTCGGCAAAAAAATATTTTGATACAAAGACCTTACCATAAAAAATAGAAATGAGGTCGGCAATTTTTTTCTGACATCAAATACTTTTAGGTCAACAGTTATGTCAGCATTGCCAAATGCCGACCCTAATTCCGAGGGTTGATAACATGAATATCTAACATGCTTATAATGTAGCCATTTTTTATCAAGTGTGTTTGTGCTCATTATTTGTTTTTCAAAATATACAGCAGTATTATGTTTGTATAGCATGAATTAAATAGTACATACAATAGAAAAAAACTACATAATCAAAAAAGGAACAACCACATTCATACTGATCAAAGAAGTGCAATATTTTGTATTGCAAAATAAATAAATCTAGCTTAGTTTAAAAAAATACTTCATTTAAAAAATGAAAACTGAAAACTTCAACTTTATTTTGTTAAGGGCAAAAAAAATGTTTAATAAACAATGGTATCATCAAAATTAACAGAAAAAAAAAATGTAACAACATATTATACAAACTTACATAAATAAAAAAAAAGTATTAATTATAATTAAGCAATCAAAATTTTAGAAAATTAAGATGTAGGTTGTCTATAAAAATTAAGATGTAGGTTGCCTATAAAAATTGAGATGTAGGTTGTCTATACAGGGTAAATGCATTAACATTGCATGTTAACTGTCTCATTAGAGGATGTTAGAATTGGTATCCTTTATTGAATCTTAAGCTACCCCACTGATGTATTACTACAAAAAATAAAATAACTGTATTTAAGTCATTTAAAATACCTCGATCCTTTTTTCTACTTGGGTTTTAAGGTTTTCTCCAAACTCAACTAAACTATCATACTTTCTTTTAGAATCGTCAAGTTCATCTTGTAGTCTCTAAAAAATAACAAATTTTCTAAAGAATAATAAAGTTCACCTCATAACTTTTAAAAAATTATAAAATTAATTCTGAAACAGTTTTATATTTTATGTTTAGAAAATTGATAACAATATGATAAAGAAATCTTTTAGTTACTTTATTTTCTTGTTTGAGTGAAAAATTCAGCTCTTCTGTATGAGATAATTTTTTTTCTAGATCTTCAACTTCTTCATTAGATTTGGTTTCATCCTAAAATAATATTCAATAATAATTTATCAAAAATTATTTTGTCAACTTTAAATTGCTTTGCAAGAAAATAACTTGGTTTGCTCTTCACAAGAATAAAACTTACAAAAATACTTTAAATGCAAACAGTACTGCAAATATGCATTATTTCCTTTTAACATTTAAAGAAACTCTTCAATCTTTCAAATAAAAAGTAACTCTTTTGTGTTCTCCTTCAACAACTAACTTAAGTATTTAAATTTGAACCTTTATACATCTAAGACGCTTAATCAACAACTATAGACTTACAAGAAATTAGAGGTTCTTACAAGAATTTAGAGAGTTCTTTATTCATACAGTAATTGTCATGCAATGGTAATTATGAATAAAGGACATCCTGATTCAATAGATCCAAACAATTCAAAAATTTAATTAGCTTTTTCAGTTAATTATAAATTAAAATGATCAATAAAAAAAGCATAAAATATTTTTATGCTTTACACAAAAACAAAAAACACTGAATGTTAATAAATCTTAAAACTTGCTTTCGGTGTCAACATTCAGCATAACTGCAATTTTATTTAAGACTTATATTTGGTCTTAATACATGTTATGAATTTGGCAGAAATAGTTTTATTTTAATTTTTTTTAGAAAAGTATAAAATTGCCAACTATCTATGCAGCTCTACCAGCAAAGTATCAATTTAGAGATATTAGCCTTATAATTCATGACCAACATTAACTTATAATATAATTAAATTTACATATTTATATATTAATATTAATTTTTAATATTAATATATAAATTTTTATGTTAATTTTTTAATATTAATTTTTTTTAAGGGTACTCTAATGGTTGGTCCTACAGTCCAAGTTGTATATTTTAAATGAACTCTACATTTCATTTACCATTAAAAGAAAAAAGACTCTTGACTTTTAAATGATGTTTAAGTGAAAATTTTTAAAATAGGGAAGTTGGAATACAACTTAGACTATGATTGCCTGTCCTATAACACTATCGCAAGTCCTATAACACAATCACAATTAAGCAGTAAAGAGAAAAGCTTCATTTATTGTTTTTACATTTAAAATTTTGACTAACTTTTATTGAAAATAATCTGAAAAAAATTTCTATGAACTGAATAATTCAGATCCATTCAAATATTCATCTCAAACATTTTTATGATGGTAATATAAGTGGACCAAATAACAAACTTTTTTTTAAAAATTGATATAACTTGAATAGATTTGAGTCAGAAAGAAAAGTTTAAAAAGAAAAGTTTGAAAATTTGAAAAGTTAGAAAAAAATTTGAAAACAAAGAAAAGGGTTAGAGTCCAAGGAAATGGTTGAAAGAAGACTTAAAAATTTGTAGGTTGTATGAGTCAGGAAAACATGTAAATGGGAGAGAATTCCAAAGGCTTGAAAAGCAAGAAAAAAAAATTAGACATTAAAGTTTTTAGATCATGAAAAAACAGATACAGTAAAGGATGAGTCTTTGCTGAATAACTAGTCAAGTGAGAATTAGTTTTAGCTGATGGAACTAGAGATGATAGCTCCTTTGAGCAGCTACCATGATACTATTTGTAGAAGAGGGAAAGAGATGCAAGTTTACAAGAATGGGAGAGAGGCTCAAGCTTAGTACTTATTAGTAGCTTATTAGTAGTATATTAGTATTACTAGTAGTATATTAGCTTATAGTAGTAGCTTATTACTAGCTTATTACCTAGTACTTATTAGTAGCTTAATACTCATATTTAGGGATTGAATGCACAAAAAGTATTGCAAGGCAATGATTTCTGCAGTTAATATAATTTGAATGTGGTGCATTATGTCAAATACTCCTCTGCAACCCAGATGTAAAAGCTAAATGAAATCTGCAACCCAGATGTAAAATAAAATTAATTTATAAAATTTTAGTAATAAAGGTTAACCATAACGAAAAAGACTTGGTAGTAATATGCTTAGTAAATAATTACTAAAAATGATATATGTCTGGAGCCTTTAAATTCCTCATCCTCTTCATTGGCTTACTTCAAAATAACAAGAAAACTGATGTGGAACAAATGTGTACCTTTCCCTGCTTATTGTATTGGTCCCATCCATACTATGTAACTCTAAGTTACTAATGTCTTCGAACTTGAAATCAAAGATTCTTGAATTTTTACAAATTATAACTTTCGTTAGTCCCAGAAACTCTTCTTCTATTTTTATTTTACTGATAACATAGTAGAAAAATGATCAACTGGCTCAATCAGCAGTATCTGTATCTAAACTTAACTTACCTGTATCTAAGTCAACAGTATTTATAAGGTGTGCTAGTAAATAGATGATCACTTAAGCATTTGATAAAGCTGTCAACAGACTTATATTTCTGTATAAATTTTTTCTTCTTTCCTGTTTGGCTTTAGAAGATTTGGCTCTCATGAAAAACCAGTTTGTATGCAAACTCATATATATCGGAAAACTCAGATATATTGTCATTACAAAGTGGGCCAGAATTCACTTTTACTGGACAAAACTAATAACTCGTCATATAAAAAAAATTTAAGAGCCATTTTTGGACTGTTTACTAATTTGAGGATTTCAGTTTCAATAGTGACACTAGTTTTAATTTTGGGTTGCTGTGGATACCTAAATTCCTTAGCAACCACATATTTTATTAACCTTAACAAATATAAACTGGAAAAAGTATTAACTTTATTAGATTACTTGCATAATTTCCACATTAAGTATTTTTATACCGCATAAGTAGTGGTACTAGGGATTTTTTATTTGGTTGATACTGACACCTGAAACACCTGGCAACGGTTCATTTTGCATAAATACTAGCTAAAGTCACTTTTATTAAAGCATCAATGTAATAAACTAGACTAATATTAATGTGGCAGTCTGAATGAGAATAATTTTATGCATTTTAAAAATTTAACACATTCCTAATTACTATTTTTAAGTACTTTTATGCAGTTCCAAGGCTCTATTTTATATTTCATGAAACTACTACATGATCCATATAAAAAAGAACCTAAAGCTTAAACCTTTTTGTGTATATAATAATATAAAGGTTTTGATTTAAAATTATTTTTCGAACCAAAACTTATATATTCTGATAATTGTAAAACAGTTTTGTCTTGTTTTTCTTTACTATCTTGGCGCAAACAACAAACTGATGCAAACATTAGTTCTTAAAATGAATATGATGCAACTAATGATGTCAATCTTCTTTTCTTTGTTTTACTACTTAAAGTATAAAAATTTACCTAGGGCTTAACTTACCTAAGATAGTGGCTTAACTTACCTAAGATATTGCCAGATAGAACAGTTGGATAAGAGCAAATTTTTTTTATCAATGGAAGCAGTGAATAGAATTTTCTTATTATCAATTACAAAATGAATTGATATCGGTTCATTTTGTAGCCATTATTTGTTATTCTCTTCAAAAGGAATTTTAGAGCTTTTGCATATATACCTTTGTAAAAGATGCTTTATGAAATTAGACAGGTTATTATTTGCAGTTAATTTTATGTCATTTACAACTGTATCCAATATATTAGAATTAGCTAAGTTCAAGTTTTCTTGCACTATATATGAATAAATATCAATGTTTTTCATGTTTTAACTATATAAAAACATGAACTTTATTTACAAAATCTTATCAATAGGTATTGTAAGATGTATTTATAATAAAACAAGTTTGTAACACTAATCTAGTCTCACTGAGACTTAATTATTACATAAACATTTAGAGAAAAATAAATATGTTTTTGCCAGATAAAATCGTATTAACCTGTTCATTTAACCTGTAAAAATCATTATTAGAGACCATACAGACATCCGCGGATTATAAACCAAATTTATATTGATAATATACATATTAAACAAAATATTTTAAGTCTCAAATTACTGGACCGCCAAAATATTTGACTATATAAGTAAAATTTTAACTAAAAGAAGTACTTCAAACACGCTGCCATTTGAAATCATTTTATTCGACATAACTTACATGCAAAATAGTGTTGTAATAGCTCATTTGAAAGATTTTATTAAATTATACAATAAAAAGAGAAGTTTTAAAATTCCATGCTTATTAGTAACAAAAAAAAATATTATCAAATTAAAAAATGCTTAGAACCATACGGCATGATAATTATACAAAAATATATACATTTTTTAAAAGTTGAACGTTTAAACTATAAAATGGTATATAATAATATAATTTTTGAAAATGTATTTTTTTCTACATTTGTCCACAACCTAGCCCATTGTGCATTGTTCTGTGTGTATATATATATATATATATATATAAATATATATATATATATATATATACATATATATATATATATATATATATATATATATATATATATATATATATATATATATATATATATATATATATATATATATATATATATATATATATATATATATATATATATATATTAAGGGCTATTCTAGACTGTTTTCAACAGCGTCGAACGTATTTGAGCGTCGATTTTGGCACCACCCAAATTAAAATTTGAGGACCTTATTTTTTTTTCTTTCTAGATTAGGCCTAATTTATTTTCCTAGAATAGAATATAGGGTAATCCAAAAAAGTCAAGTTATATATGTTATATATTTCAAGTTTAATATAAGTCAAGTTTAATATATATATTTATATAAGTTTATATAACTTTTGAAAATGTATTTTTTTTTACATTTGTCCACAACCTAGCCCATTGTGCATTGTTCTGTGTGTGTGTGTATATATATATATATATATATATATATCAGGCTTTCCCAGGAAAGGCGTGCGGTCGCACGCCTTGTTTGTCCACGCATAGAATAAATTTTTCAGAAAATGTGACCGCGGCAATATTTCGTAAGAAAGCATAGAGAATAAAAAATAATATTTAAAAAATGAAACGAAGTCTAAACAAAGTATAAAATTGAAATTGGATGTAAGAAAAATATTTCGATAATAAAAAAAAATTAAAAAAAAAATTCTTGTAACAAAAAAAAAAGTCTTGAACATTTTTTT